ATACCACTTGACCAAGTCATCAATTGGCCCCCTTCTCTTCGTCCATCCACACCCGCGGCGTGCAAACAACGCAAGAAGCGGGAGTCGGTGTGCTGGCATGCGCAACAAGTGGAACATCCATCGAAACTTGGTGCTGGATATTATAGTGTTGAGCGATTCACTCGCTTTTCCTGCACCAAATACACAATCGCTGATCACACGGTGCTCCCACCAGACATGAGCTCAGCTGTGAACGCAACGATTATCGAACGTAACTAGCTTCTTTATGTCTGTTGATATGGTGGGCCACGTTTCGCACCGTACAGTAGGGTTGAACGGACGGCGGCAGCAGCAGCAGCTCATCTGTAAGTTAAAATGACGTTTCGCTGTCACACAACTATGATAGAGAATTAGAAGCGACGTGAAACGGAAGATAGATCCAGGGTGTCACTGCACTCTAAGCGAACAATCCGAAATAAGGTGCCTGCATCGTGTCAACAACACGCGGTAACAAATAGCTCGTTCTCACGTGCGGCACCGGCGACACAGTATAAGGTATCAGCAGTATGCCAAAATGTAATACCGACGTGACGCTGCCGCACAACCACCACCAGTCGCACGTGGGCTAAAGAGCATCGGCCGGTCTCTACCCAGGCTCGAACTTGCGTCCCGCGATTACAAGGCAGGCTTGTAGCCCTCAACCAATGCCTTCAAGCCACTTTTCGCCACGTCATCCGTCGGCATTTCCTAGACATTGTATCGAGGACTTGTCATCGAACACAACACAGAAGTTGCACACAACGTGGGTCCACCAGATATGGAGAATGAACACACCCGGGTTAGTAGAGCAACAATGTGAGATCTTGTTAATTGCGTCGGATGCCCTTGGCAAACAACGTTTCTAAAAATTGTCGGTCCGGGTCAAAACCATAAATCCGTGATAAAACGAGTTCTACGGAACATCTGTCACAACACGGTAAAAATAACCTGAGATCAAGCTCGGGAACTTCGATTTTTAGAACTAAGTGAGTGCAAAAATTAGTAGCAACAAACCAATTCATCCAAGATGCAGTTAAGGAAAAGTGAGGCGGAACGTACATGAAACATCTTAGGGTTGCAAATGTACATCATCAAGCCTTGAAGTAATAATGTTATTCTACCCTACTTCGGCTTGGGCAACCGAGTAGTGTCGTGCCCTCTGTGAAAACCATGGAGTTCGCAATTACTACTACGCCGCTTACTTCTGCTGCTACTCGTGCTTCTCCATCACACGCCAACTTTTCTCTTGTTTATAATCTACAACTTATTGAATCTACTTCCAATGCCCGTCTCCTGATACCCAAATCATCCGGTCATCAGCTATCCTTCGACCCCGTACATCATTCTGTCTGGCAGAGTTGAATGTTCGGACCCTCCTACAGATTGGACAACAGTCTGGCGTGGCGCGCACTCTAGAGTCCCTCGCCATGGATGTTTGTTGCCTTTCAAAGACTCGATTACAGGATCCCAGCACCGTGGTTAGGTTGTCGTCCGAAGCTGCTCTGGAGACCGCATATTACCTACGTCTGTCTAGTGACATGAATGCAGCAGCAGCCGGCTTAGCTGGTGTCGGTATCGCATCAAGTAAATAGATAAATAAATAAATAAATTTGTATATTTACCGACAGACGGTACACGGCCCCATAAGTGGGAGCGATCAAAGCGGAGGCTGCATTACTCGACGGGTTTCCAATTGACAGCCGGCTGTGTGCGGTTCGGCTTCAATGCTCATGTAGAATCAACAGACATCGTGAAGAGAGGCGCAATTTATTTGTCGTTTCTGCTTACGCTATAACTGACTGCAGTTGTGCATCGGTTAAGGATGATTTTTATCGTGGTCTCCACGATCTTTTGAACAAAGCCGAAAAGTCAGATGTCATTCTGTTTGCCGGAGATCTCAATGCACGAGTAGGTCGCCTGCTTCCGTGCGAACGTCATCTTGGTGACAGTCACGCGCTTGATGAGAGCCGTTCTGACAACGGTGATAGACTTCTTACGTTATGCGAAGACCACCGTCTCTTTCTCATAAGTACGAACTTTAGGCATACCAGAAGAGGCACAGCCATCTGGCGCCCTCCTTCACCCAGACGCAAGCGTGGTCCCAAATAGATCATATTGCAATCAGATTTAGATGGCGGGGCAGCGCCCGAGGTTGTGGATCGATTTGGTCTACGTACCTTGATTCAGATTATGCTTTGGTCTGCGCGGACATCTGCAGGCGCTTCGGCGGCTCCTCAAAACGAAAGCTCTATACGCTCGAGACCCACAAGTTAGCTGACCTCTACTCGATCAACTTATCAAGCTTCCTTATTGAGACATCGAAAATCATCGGAGCTTCCTTCGTGAAGCGATACTAACTTCCAGTCATTCAATCTGCGGAATCACAAGGCGCCCTCTGAGGGGTTGGATTTCCGCACACTCACTGGAATTGTTTGATCGTCGTAGAGCTATCCCGATCGATTCAAACAGCAGTGCACTGCGTCGCATTCTCAGCCAACAACTTAAGCAAAGCCTGCGTGCTGATCGCGAAACTTGGTGGTCCCAGTGCGCCTCAGAGATGGAAACGGTAGCCCTCTCTGGAAACTTTCGCAAGCGCTTCCAGCTCATTCGGGCTACTGGTGTCAGTGAGGTAAGTTGCGAGGTTCACGAAACGCCAATAAGCAACGCACACAGACGTATGAAGTGCTGGGCTGAACACTTCCGCACTTAATGCAGCTGGCCTCCGCTGTCGGTGAGCCTATTGAGTATACCCAGTTGCGCGCCTTGGAAAGTCGCATTGAAACAACCCATTGAAGCTGAGGTCAGCCTTGAGCTCAGGCACTTGAAACGATTCAAGTCAGCTGGCCCAGATAGGCTTTCTCCAGAGCTGTTCAAGTTTGGAGGCGAAGTAATTGTCAACCAACTAACAGCTCTGTTCTCTAAGGTTTGGTGCGAAGGAGCAGTTCCATCCATTTGGAGCGAGTCAATTATCGTCCCGATCTTCAAAAACGTGCCCGTACTCTAAGCGCTAACCACCGAGGAATCAGTCTAACGTCCGTTTTCTCTAAGCTGTTAACATACATTCTACTCCGCTGACTAACCCAGATTCGAGAATTGTGCTCCCGGGAAGAACAGGCTGGTTTCCGCCTCGGTCGAGGGTGTATAGACCCCTTGTTTACGCTCCGCCAACTCCTTGAAACGAGTCAACTTTACCGTCAGCCCAATATCGTTGTTGTTCTGGACATCCGCGCCGCTTTCGACTCCGTCGACCGACCTGCTTTAGGGCGTGGCTTACAAAGGAATGGACTACCCGAAAAGTATACCGACATTCTTCGAGCATCATATTGCAATGTTTCAGGTAAAGTGAGAGCTAATGGTAAGCTCTTTTCACCTTTCGCCGTCCCTAGCGGTGTACAACAGGATTGCCCTATGTCCTCGTTTCTCTTCAATTTTGCGATCGAGGATGTTCTTTTAAACACTCTCTAGGGCTTTCAGAGTTCCGTTGCAGAGCTTCTTCCTGGCAACCGCGTGACCGAGTTAGATTATGCTGATGATACTGCCTTGTTTGGTGATGACGCACAGAGCACACAAGTCGTTATAAACCGTTTGGCGATTGAAGCATCAAAATATGGAATGACCTTTGCCCCTATGAAATGCAAAGTCCTGGTCCTGGATTGGCATCCATCGGCCCCAAGTGCTCACACTTCAAGGTACGCAGCTTGAACAAGTGGGCAATTTTGTTTGCCTGGGAAGCTGTTTCTGCGGTAGTAATGGAAAAGAGATTTCCCACCGCACTGCCAAAGCCCGTTCGGCATTCGCCAACTTGAGGCATCTGTGCGACGCCGTGAGGTTTCACTATTGGTAAAGGGCAAGGTCTACAATGCCTGTGTACGCGCGGTGCTGCTGTATGGGAGTGAGTCCTGGCTGATCCGCGTAAATGACTTGCGTCGGATTTCGGCCTTTGACAATGGGTGTCTGCGGAGAATAGCTCGAGTGTGGTGTATGAACCACGTGAGCAACGATGACGTTAGACGTTGCGTCTTGGGTAACACGGGACTTCCACTTGACAGGCTGGTACCGCTGTGCCAATTGAGATGGCTGAGCCACGTTTAGCGCATGCCATTCGAACAGCTACCTCGACGCGCTCACTTCGCTCGCAAAGAACCAGGCTGGAAGAAATCGCGCGGTGGTCAGCCTATCACTTGGCAACAAACGCTTAAAGCGCAGACTTCAAGTTTAGCTGTCGTAGGTCCTGTGCGTCTTCCAGGCTGGGGGATCAAAGATGAAGAACATCGCTGGCTGGAAACTCTTTCGGAGATGGCGCAGAACCGGGCCCAATGGAAAATGTGCACAAACGTGTGTCTTGCTTTTCTTGATTTACATCGCAAACACTGAACAAACAAAAAAGATAAACTGGCGTGTGGAAAAACAAAAAAGAAAAGAGAAGATTCAAAAACAAAATACGTTTGCAGCTTTCATTCTTTTCTTTGTGGTCTCTGTATTTAGCACTTCCGTTTCATGGTTTCCGCTGGTTCTATGTCTATATTATAGACTGCTGAATATATATATATATATATATATATATATATATATATATCATGTTATTCTAAGGAAATAGGACCGCCCTCAAGGCAAACACCAATGTGTTGCAGAGTTGCACGTGCTACCTCGGACCGATAGGCCAAGATGCAAATACCGCCATAAATTGTTGAAGGTCTGAACAACAAACTGAACCTGGTCAATGTGCACTGCAACCACACGGGAGGCCCAGTTACCTAGGCAACTAAACCGATCGATAACGCAAGGCAGTCTTACCATGGCTGCGCATCGACCCAGCTCTCAACCATACGCTGTTGCGTGAAAGGCGCAAAGTGGACGCCGAAACGTGTTACAAGTTGCATCGCTGGGTCAAATCAGACTGCATAGATTGGATCGCAGTTAAAAGACAAAATTCATGGTAGATGAAAAGTGGGCAAAGAATGACTGAATGCTTGCCGACTTACTGGAGGGTGACTCGCGAAGATCACATTTGGCATGACAAATCGACGTGGTCGGCTTGATGGAACTAGCGCCGGAATTGCGCACACATGGGCGCTTGAGTGTGCGCCGTGAAGCGCCAGAGAGCACCCGGTTGGTCGACAACGGTTTAGACATATCAGTCGTAGTGACGCTGGTGTCAGGCGATGCGGACAACGAAGCCTAGATAGGAGGGGCGATAGATTAAAGCACAAAGTATTCAAATGACGAGGGAAAATTTTCAAGTAAAGACCGCCGGAAAACTGAATATAATCAAAAACGTAAAGGCACCTTGAATTTTAAAATGGAAGCCGAAGGGCTGCGAAATCACCAAGCAGCAAATGTAAAACATTGCAGATAAGGGCGGAACAGTGCACTTCAAATCATCATTCGCAATATCATCGAGGAAGTTCTCTAGAGACTGAAAACTGGGAGGAGATAACAAGCATCACTAAGGAGAACGCCATGACTTCTTGTCATGGCGATTCGTGTCCTACTGTCTGCGAAAAAAGTGAGTGTTTGAATGACACGGCATTAAATGGAGCTTGTCTATATAAGCCCTTTAAGTCTATTTGCATACAAGCAAAATTGAACCAAGACAGTTTAAAACACAATGGCCAAAAACCAGTCAATAAGAGTGCTCCTGGCTAAGAGCCAGTCAACAGGAGCGTTTGCATGCACCCAAGAGCTTTCAGTGGCAGGGGAATCTCACTAGATTTTTATTGAGCTGCAAACTCATCCTTTCTGAATGCAAAAGCAATGCACTATCTGTGGCTCAAATGAAGAAATCGACAAGGTCTTTGTTCCTTGATCTGTGAAGTGCCTTATCCGGGGTTCACAATACTGGGAGCAAGTAGGAATTAGAATCCGTATAACTCCATCAAAGCATGATCAAAAACGTCAAGAAAAAGGCTATGAATTGGCAATACTCTGATCATTTCTCACATTCTCACGTGATATGTTCGATTAAACGTAATTTGAATCTAACATTTGAGAAATGCATATCCAACGATCGTTTCAACTGCTGCAATGAGTTCGCTCCCACTGTACCGGAAAACCGTTCCAAGCACGTGGGATGAGATCGATTCAGAACTGAAACCAAAAGATTGTACTGGTGTCCGCGTGTGCCGCAGGGCGTTCACAAGTGAAGCAGTAGCCGCAGCATGGGAAAGTTGCCTACATGTAGAATTCCGTAGGTCAGGATGAGGTCGACTCGCAACCGTAGACAGGCCAGGGTGCACAGTCCCAGCTTCTCGCACCTGTCCTCGTACACTAAACCTCGCAAACTGGGGATGAGCCAGGTAGCCACACCCGTTCAATCATCTGCGCCTCGTCGCGAGTGGTTAGGCAATAAGTGGGCGAGTCGTACTCTAGTATTTGTCTGATGATGGAGGACAAGAGGCGAGTGGAAACCTCTTCAGACCAGATGCATAAGCCGCGTTAGAGCGCCCAGAGCATGTGCAGACCGTTACGATATAGCCTGCTCATGTTGTAAACGGATTTCAAGTCGCAACGTGAGAGTATTCCTATGTCCTACACGGAAGGTGTAGGATGTAACAGTTGGACGTTGGATGGACAGTTGGATGTAACAGTTGGACTGTCACCACTAGTCCCCAGACTCATGAATATCAACTTAAATGGGTTGACCGGGAGGCGGACTTTTGCAGACCACATGGAAAGGCGGTTTGGGACTTGTCGTCGGATGTGCTTACCACTCTCCACATTTTCAGGGCGTATGCAATCAGCGCTTGCACTGACCGACGAAGCCGATGTAGATCTTTGATATAAATCAGGAACAATGTAGGCCCCAGCATTTTACCTTGGAGTACGCCACTGGTCGAAGGATACTAGTCGGTTAGGTGGCTATCGACTCATACCCATCACTTTCGTCCAACAATAAAGTCCTGCATCCACTGGTGCAGAGATGCATCAACACCGCACACTCTCAGTTTGAGAAGGAAGACCTCATGGTTCACCTTATCAAACGCTTTGCTGAAGTAGATGTAGATCACGTCAATAAATTTTCCCCGGTTCAATGCATGCAACCATGGTTGGCGGCATCCGGTTTCGGATTTGCCTGTCACTGTGGCCAGACACAGGACGCCTGCGCTTACAGAGGGACCATGGGTGGCTTGCGCTGCACCACCCACTGCTCCAACCACACACCCCATATCCAGTGTAAACCCGAAGGAATAAGACCGGGAGGCATGCGGATGGGAGCCACGTTTCATCAACGGAGCCGGCCCACACTCCTTCACAGACAAACACAAGCACGCTGTATTTGGGGAATCAACCGCACACAAGGCGGTGGCTGGACCGTAGTCCGCTCCACACTGAGTGCATGGAACCACTCTTCGAGCCCAGCACGGCCACAAGGACCGTGCACCCATTCCCCTCCAGCAACGACCAACTGTCTCCTGGAGCCAGTATGGACGAGGTAGTGGGTAATAGACAGGTAGGCACCTTGTCAACATGCACACCAAGCGCAGCCACATCGGGGATATCAAGCAACAGCCAATCACCTGGAACGACAAGATGAAATAAAACATGGCCCCTGCGCATGCAACCATGCATGCGTCGTTACGAGCATGTTGGTGATGTATGAATGACCTAGCACGAAACCGTGCGCCATGGCGCAGTTGCATAAGCTGCGGGTTAGTTGGCATAAGCCACTAGCAGTCATGGGTTCGATCCTCCGTAGAGGACCGAAGGATGCGCACCACTGACGAGCCCCATTAAGGCGAAACGGCCGTCTGGTGCTTTTCCGGATAGGTAGTTCACTTATCTGAATTGTCGGCTGACTGCGACGAACAAAAACACTCACCAAAATCCTTCTACTCATAGGTAAATTAACCTGTAATTATCTACCTTACTGAAGTCACCGCCTTTAAAAACCGGCCTTGCCACCGAACTTTTCTAATCAATCGGCAATGAAAATCGGACATAGACCAGTTTAACAGGTTAGTTATGACTGATAAGGACTTGAGAACCAGGGTGTGGAGCTTGTCAGACCCAGCAGGTTAGGTGCTGTCGAGATTGTCGAGTAGTTGACGCTCCTCTTCCATACTAGAATTCGGACTGTCGAGTTCGGTAAGGGTGGCGCACGCTGAACTCGATACAGACACCCGGTTATTTGCAAACACAGAAGCAGAATGTGCCAGCAAGGCAACCGCACACTCAGTGCTGGAGGTTATAGGCTGTCCGTTCATTTCCTCTATCACTGGTAAATTACCAGTCGGCCTTAGGCGCCGGTTCACGCAGGCAGACTTTTTCGGAGCGGTTTTTGTTGCGGTTGCAAGCTGCTGTTCGAAATTCCTGTGCTTGTCGGTTTTCACACTGTTGAAGATGTTTCTCTGCTTTTTATCCACACCATGGTCGTCGACGGAATGAGAGATAAGGAAGTTGTCCCGCAGCCAGATTACCATATTCTTTGTCGAATCAATGCAGTTTGATCAATCCGAGTTTCCGACACTTGAGGCAAAAAATGCCTACAAAATGAGTGTACACAATTCTTTATAACTGATCAGCAAGCTTCAGCAGATGTCGGTTGCGGTAGAAACCCATCCACTTGGCTCGCGGTACGACTCAGGCCGTCGAAAACCGCCTCCCAGTAGTTGTAATCTGCTGCAGTGCGCGGGGAGTGTTGTAGTGGCAGCTCCATGTTGGCAATAAGAACTGAGTGGTCACTTGATCTAGGAGTTCTAGGATACGAATGTTATACACAGGTTGTTCACAGCTGGTTAACGTCAGGTTTAAACACGATGGAGAGTTAAGTGCGGTGTTATACGCGTCGGTTGTCAGATGTATCCCTGCTGTCAACAGAAATATACGGGGAAGCAGAAAGCCAGCTTGCAGATTTAATCTTGTCCATGCGCAGCGATCGGCTAACTGGAACTCACAACGACCATGGGATCCGGATGATTTTCATCGACCAATGGTCGTGCTTGGCTTAGACGTTCACCACCTGCAGTTATACCAGGGAAGTGTGGGTATGTGGTCTGATGGTGGATGCCCAGTTTATCGCGACTTGGGTGTTCCGGTATGGGACAATGGCAACAGCTGCTTGGGGGGCAGCCGGAATGTAAAATAATTATCAGCATCGCTACTGAGTGCACCAAAGGCTGAGTTGATGTAAATGGATTAAAGCACTGAATGATAGTAACTGCGATCTTCAAATTATCCTACACGTTTTCTGGGGGTGAGAAATGTCTCAGCTTTGTATCGCAACAAAATTACACAGCTCTAAAGGCGAAAAGTAAACACGAAACAAGTAATATCGTGCGTTGCCTTTTTATTACACATCGGTGGTAAGATCAACGTTAGAGGGAAAAAGAAACGCAAGGCACGTATGCTAAGGAGGTTGGCTCTTTGATGTGTCGACGGAAGTATGCTACCAAAAGTATGCATTGACCATCGGTCTCCAGTTCCGCAGTCAGGATGCACCAACTAAAATCAAGTTCGAAATCAGAGTCCTCATACTTCTTGACCAAGTCATCGCTTGGCCTTCCCTTCTCTTCTTCTATCCGAACGTAGGTCACACAAACAACGCAAATTGCGGAAGTCGATATGCTGGCACGCGCAACACGTGGCCTAGTCATTGGAACCTGGTGTCGGACATATAATGGTGCTGAGCTCTTCACTCGCCCTTCGTGCATCAAATACGTAACGTCGAACACGCTCAGTGCTCACGCGGTGTTCCCACCAGATGTGAGCTAAGGTGCGAAGGCAGCGATGATCGAATGTATCCAGAATCTTGATGTATATCCATATGATGGACCAGGTTTCACAATCGTACAGTAGGGCTGAACAAACGGCTACATAGTAGACTTCATCCTTCAGGGACTTGCCGACATGGCTAGGATCCAACCTCAATGGCGTTCATGCTCAGTTTCTTTGCCCCCATCCCTCCTAGCCGCCCCCTCCAACTACGATCTCATTTCTTAGCATAATATAATTTTTTGTTACATAGTAGCCGGCTGGTAGCTTTCCGGAGCCAAGCCCATCCGTTACCGGCAGCTCAACTAGCATACAATTGGTGCAATTTTTCTTAGCTTTTTTCTTTTATGTAGTGCGGCACAATAGCTGAGGTGTTTTTCACCTCTAGCTAACGTGTATAATGATGATGATGACCATCCTTTAGGGCGAAGGTGATGTCACGCAGGTGTAACAGGTGACGGCGCCTT